ATCTAGGGCTCAACATGATGGCTCTGCTGACTAACCCTTCACTTACAAGCAAAAGCATTCTGTATGAGCGCTGGTTGGTGTCCCAGGTACTTCGCTTCCCACCTAACTCCCTATTTATGGTCTGGTAAAGCAACGGAGGATGAACCAAGGCCTTGGGACCCTGCACCCACTTGGGGGGCCTGGAGGAGGCTCCTGGCTCGTGACTTGGGATCAGTTCAGCTCCAGCCATTGAGGCCATCTGAGGAAAGAACCAGTGAATGGAAGATCCTTCTGCCTCTTATGTGTAAATTTGCCTTTCCAATAAAAATAAATAAACTTTAAAAAATCTAAACACATATGCATACACACCTACACAATCACACCTAGACACAGCTGTACACCGACACATCCACACTCACACACACCCCAGACAACCCCCCTCCACACATACCCATTCCCACTCACACACAAACACACCCAAGGAATGGAGAGGCACTTGACAGTTAAGCCCAAGAATGTTTACAGGAACACAAAAGCAGCTAGCACTGAGCAAGGTACACACAACCATGCATTGAAAACAGCAAGAAAGTAAGACCATTGAGGAGACGAGGCAACCAATCAAACCACTCAGGACTGAGAGCTTAGAATCGGCAGCCATGTCCCTACAGCAGCCATGTCCCTGCAGCAGCCATGTCCCTACAGCAGCCATGTCCCAGCTGCCATGTCCCTGCAGCAGCCATGTCCCTGCAGCAGCCATGTCCCTGCTGCAGCCATGTCCCTGCAGCAGCCATGTCCCAGCTGCCATGTCCCTGCAGCAGCCATGTCCCTGCAGCAGCCATGTCCCTGCAGCAGCCATGTCCCTGCTGCAGCCATGTCCCTGCAGCAGCCATGTCCCAGCTGCCATGTCCCTGCAGCAGCCATGTCCCTGCAGCTGCCATGTCCCTGCAGCAGCCATGTCCCTGCAGCTGCCATGTCCCTGCAGCAGCCATGTCCCTGCAGCTGCCATGTCCCTGCAGCAGCCATGTCCCTGCAGCTGCCATGTCCCTGCAGCAGCCATGTCCCTGCAGCTGCCATGTCCCTGCAGCAGCCATGTCCCTGCAGCAGCCATGTCCCTGCAGCAGCCATGTCCCTGCAGCAGCCATGTCCCTGCAGCTGCCATGTCCCTGCAGCAGCCATGTCCCTGCAGCAGCCATGTCCCTGCAGCTGCCATGTCCCTGCAGCTGCCATGTCCCTGCAGCCATGTCCCAGCTGCCATGTCCCTGCAGCTGCCATGCTGGCCGCTCTGTATGTTTAGAACACTAGAGAAAACACTGGACGTGTTGGGAATGGAAGATTCTTTTTTCAAAGACAAACCAATCTTCTGGAAATAAGAACTATCATGTTGGAAAAAATACACTGGTTGGAATTATCATCAGATTAAATATTGCAGAAGTTAGTAACTGTGACCTGGAATACTTAACAATAGCAACCATCCAAATCAAACAGTAACACAAAAAGGTTTAAAAACAAACTAACAGGGTAACAAGGAGCAACTTCAGACAGCCTACAAGTTTAAATGGAGTCTCCGAAGAAGAAGAGAAAGAAGAGGGGAACAGAAAAAAGGCTGCAAGATTTTCAAATGGGATGCAAAGTATAAACTCACAAATGCATGAAAGTCCTCAAACCCCAAGTCCAAGAAACATGGAGACATAGTCAGATTACTCAAAGCCAGTGGTGGGCCTCAGTTTGAATCCTGGCTGCTTCATTTCCAATCAAGCTCCCAGCTAACATGTCTGGGAAAGCAGTGAAAGATGGTCCAAGTGCTTGGGTCCCTGCCACCTGCAGGGGCGACCCAGAAAGTGCTCCTGTGACATGGTGGTGTGAACTTTCAGTTGCTTATGACATCATTTGGACTGCGGTAAGTTAAATGCTTACATAGGAAGTACCAAAGCAGCCACTATGATCATAAAACAAAGAGTGGTGTCTGAAAAGGTGAGCGAGGAACTAGTGTGGCCATGGGAAGGGGAGTGGGGGGAGGGACCAAAAACTTCCTCTATGCAAAAGTCAGCAGGGAGTGAAAGACATGCTGTGGGGACACGTTGAAATCCAACCATTCGCCAGTCACATTAAGCATACAGGATTTACGCCGTCCGACTCGAGGAGAAACTGTGGGACTGGATTTTAAAAATAGGCTCCTGAAAATGCCAGTGCACACCAGACCCTGCGCTCGCACATTTACAGCAGCTTTTGCTCACAAATGTCACAACGCGAAAGCAACCAAGATGTTCCTCAGTAAGCGAGTGGATAAACAGAACACGCCCCCTCCCGAGGATTCAGTGCTGCAAAGAAATGAGCTACGGAGCCACAAAAAGACGCGGAAGCTAAGTGCGCACTGCTAGGGGCCAGAAGGCAACAGGAAAAGGCTACCAGTGGCATGATTCCAACCACAGGATGCTCTGCAAGCTACAGAGGCAGAGAAAAGACCAATGCTGGCCAGGCCCAGGGGAGGGAGGCAGGAACAGGTGCCACTGCCAGCCTTTAGGGCCTTGCACACACACACACACACACACACACACACACACACACACACACACACACACGACGGTGAACAGCTCCTACATGTCGCCCACACGCAGAGTTTGGCTGCTGCCAAGGGCAAAGCCCAGCTCAGCACGAGGAGGTGTCAATGTGGGTCCATCGGCTGCAGTAAATGTGCTGCTCTGGTGGGTGTTGCTAACGGGGCACGATGCGCCTGATAGCAGGGGGGTCAGGAATCCTGGTGTCCCTGTCCATTTTTCTGCGACTTCAACAAGAGGTGCACTGATTAAGCAGAGCTGCAGAGCCACTGGGCTTCAGCTCAGACTCCAACTTCCCGCTAAGGTGTGCCCCGAGGCGGGAGGCAGCAAGAGATGACCCAAGTGATGGAGACCCTTACCCAGTGTGGGAGAGGACCCTTACCCAGTGTGGGAGAGCCAGACTGAAGCCCTGCTCCTGACTGGGCCAACTCGTCCCCAACTGCTGCAACCGTCTGGGAGTAAACTAGTGGGTAGAAGACTCTCTCTGTCTCTCCCTGTCTCTAGTTCAAATAAAGAAAATAAGAAAAATTCTAAACAGACTGAAGTAGCATAGAGAGGTGAGTTTGAATCCCACCTGTGTACTCTGGGCAAATCATCCTGTCGCTTTAAGCGCCGGCTTCTTCATCTGTAAGGTGGGTCTGCCAAGTGCCTGTTCCACGGGGAGAGTCCGTGTCTGCTTCCACACTGGGCACTCGGTAAGTGGCAGTTCTAATGGGAGGGGCAGGTGTGTCTCCAGCGCAGAGTGGGGAATGGGAACACAGCTCAGGGTCCATCTTCTCAGGGTGAAGAAACTGGGGCCTGGGCCCCCAAAAAGGGCAGAGCACACAGCAGGTGCTCCCCAAACAAAGCAGATTTGTCTGGAGACTAGCCCCAATGTCTTAGCTCTGTGACGCTCAAGTGTTGCCACTCAGATGTACAGAGTCTCTGGACATCGTCTAGGAAGTTGTGTGTCTCTTTCTTGCAATAGCAGTGCACCAAGGCTTAACTGACACCAAACATCTGTCCACAGCAATAAACTCACCAGGCGACACTTGAATTGTAAGGAAAAAAAGGACAAGAAGAACCCATTTTCTAGGCAGCTGTTGAGAAAGTTACCATAGCAACCCCAGATGCTCCAGCCAGCCCAGGGCTAGCGATGATCAATTCGTTTTGTAACCATGGAAACGGCAGCAGTTCTCTGGCTTCCGGAGCCAGCTGAGGACTCTGCATCCCTGGTGCCTCTCTTTGGAGATTTGCTGTGCCATCCAGTGTGGATTCTGCTGTTGCTCTATTTTTAATATATACTTTCTGTTTTTTGCAGACACACGGAAAGTGCACATATTCCCACCCAGTATTTGTTGTGTGACCTGCAACTCGGGTAAGCACCTGGGCCTCCTGCTCACCTAGCATTTCCTCCCGATCACTGGGTGTTAAGGATAGTCGGAGGGGGAGAAGGGAGTTTGGGGGTTCTACTGCAGAGAAACACGGAGCCTTTTGGAAGAGAAACCTGGAAGAAAGGATGGGGCTTTTTCACGAGAAAGGATGAATGCCCTTGCACAGGCTTCGGCCCCGGAGCACTTCTGAGAATGACAACACGTCCCTTGAAACTTCTCTGTGGAAGAAAGCAGCAGGTGGGGCTCCTGCCTCACACCCTGGAGACCTGAGCTGCCCCTCTGTGCCCAGCCCACATGCCCACACGCCCATCGAAGCCAAGGTTGAATTCGATAGATGCTGACTACCTCTCCCAAACCCAGCAAGGCGCTTCGTGGAGCCGGCACAGTGATCAGAAGTGGCTGTCCCCAAGCAACAGTCGACTAGAGCGAGGCAGCACCCCCCTTTGTTCTGGTTCAGGAGAGTAGAAGCAGAGAGACACGGCCCCCCAGAACTCTCGGGGGCCCAGGGAGGGCGTGAGGTGGGAAGGTGAGACGTTATTTAGGAACTAGCTAGCTTCGTGGGCTGGGCGGGGGACCACTGCGAGGGGCACAGACAGCCAAACAGATTTAGCACGAGGCCAGCAGGGACGCAGCCAGCATGGCGGGGCACAAAGGCTTGGTCTCCACTCCGAGGCGAGGAGTGAGAGACGCGTAACCTAGCGCCAGTGCTTCGCAGAAGCGTCCATGGGGAGAAGCGGGGCTGCCCACGCCCGGGGTCGCACAGAGCGCTCCAGGGTTGCGCAGGGGTTCAGCCAGCGGGGGCTGGGAGAGCAGCCTCCTGCTCGCCAGCTTCAGGGTGGAATAGCTCGAACGGTGGGCACACAGGGTGTATCTCCCGCCCCCCTCCCAAAGGGCCGAGCTCGCGTCGCCCCTGCATCCCCTTCCAGGCGCACACCAGGTTGTGGCGGGGGGCGAGGTGGGATGCCCGCTTGGGGATAAAGGGGCCGTGACCTGGATTCTGGGTGGATGCCGCTGCCCCAGCCCCCGGTGGAGAAGGAGTGACTGTGGCCTCGAACTTAGCAACCCAAGGTTCGTGGGAAAGGCATCCCGTTACCTGCGCGGCCATAAAGGACAGATCCATGGTGTCGCTGCTACCACTGCCGCCGGCGCTGGAATCCTCGCTGCTGCTGCCGCTGCTGCTGCCGCTGGCTGGGAGCGGGCGGAGCTGTGAGCAGGCGTACCCGAGCCCCGCGGCCCCAGCGCAGACCTCCCAGCCCCGGCGTGGCCTCGCGTCCCCAGCCTACACCGTGCGCCCTGCTCCAGGCTCCAGACAGACAGTGGGCAGGGGACCCTGGGCACGGGGCGGGGCAGAGCGGCGGGTGGAGGGGAAGAGAGAGAGAAAGAGAGAGAGAGAGAGAGAGAGAGAAACTGGTCCCTGCACGTGACCGGTTCCAGCCCCACCCCCTGGGTGGGACCCAGCGCATCCCCGGAGAGCTCCTTCCGCTCCCTGCGTGGGCCAGCTGAGGAAACTGAGGCTTGCGCCGGCCCGCTGGTGGCTGCGAACTCCAACCTCGAATTTGAGTCCATTGCTCTTTGACACCCTGTCCGGTGTGGAGCATCCAGGCTGCCCCAGGGACCATGGATGGTGCAGAAACAAGCATCTGGTTGCGGGGACACACGGGTTTTATGTGCACCCCGCTCACTGCGCTCTGGGAGCTGGACGGAAGGAAGGCCAAAGCTGCTCTGTCAGGCAGCTTGGGCCACTTAGTGTCTGGCTGAGCCTGCACTTGACCCGAGAATAAAGGGAGGTGTCATCCCTCAGCGCGCTCCAGCGTGCATGACAGTAGAAGACCCTAGGCTGGGGTTGCCTGGTGCACAGCTGGCAGCACTGGGTGATTCGTCAGTGACCTCCTCACAGCACAAACGGGTAGATGCCCACACCATGCAGGTGTGGCAGCTCAGTCGAGGGGGGCATCTGAGCAGGGATGGCAGTGGCACTGCAAGTCCTGATGGGCCCTGAGAGGCCGCCTCTGGGCCACTCCTTGGCCCCTTGGGAAGGAGTTTGTCCTGGGCCTCCCCAGTCCTGGTCACCTTAGCCTCTGAATGGCCACTGAGGCCACCAAGCCCTGGACCCCCAGGCTTTGTAGGAACCTAGTTGTGCAAGGCCACCGGGCAGCTATGGGAGCCGGGGCCTGTTCCCAGCCAGTGTCCCCTTCCCCGGTCTCCTCCATCCCCTCCCTTCTTTCTTTCCTCCTTTCTCTCTGGCTTGCCTCTCTTCCTTCACCCCTGTCTGAACCTTCTCCCTCCCTGGCCTCAGCCACTACACCCCCCCTCGGGCCACTGTCCAGCCTGGGCCTCACATGCCTGCCCCTGCTCAGAGTCCATCCCACTCCAATCCTCCCTGTGTTCCAGGCCCTTCTGGCACCTTCCTCCACTCCCCGCTTGCATTATTAAAATCCTGTATCTTGTGCTTACAGTGTGCGTACTGCGTGTGCACAGTGTGAAGTGTAATGAAGCCCCTGCCAGGCTGAGAAGTAGAATGAGAAGCAGTGTATATGGTCTTCCGATCTGATGGACAGGAATTCTTAATTTTAATGTGTCGAAGTTGATCAATATTTTCCTCCATAGGCAGCCCTTGCTTAAGAAATTCTGTCTCAACTTGAACCAGTAAGGAGACTGTCGCATCATTTGAATATGACAATTAAAATATTTGAAGTTTGTTTCACTTGAAGGGAGAGTGACAGAGTGCGGGCGAGACAGATTGATACTCTGTTCACGGGTTCACTTCCCAGATGTCTGCAGCTGGTGGGAGCCAGGAGTCCATCTGCATCTCCCATGTGGGTGGCAGGGACCCAAGGACTTGGACCATCTTGTCTTCCCCAGCACATTAGCAGGGAGCTGGATGGAGGTGGAGCAGCCAGGGACTCGAGGCAGTATGCTGGTGTGGGTTTAACTCACTGCATACGGCACAAGCTCATCCACAGACTTCTTTAGATAATGTTGACGAGATCTGTGGACCAAGGGTTTGTCACCCAGCATAGTTCTCTCTGCAATTGCGTCCAGGTCATTGCTACAAGCATTCATGTGTAAGCTTTTATACAAACACATCGTCATTTCTCTGGGGTAAATGTCTGAAAATTGAGCTGTATGTTTTTGAAAAAGCTGTTTTCCGTAGTGGCACTGCCATTTGACGCTGCTGCCAATGTGGGTGAATGGCTTCCACCCACCCTGGTCAGCACCAGGAGCTGTGACGGTTGATTTTGTGGGTCACCTTGGCTGGCCATGGGAGATGAAGTGAAACGTGATTTCCAGGCATGTTTGTGTGTTTCTGGATGAGGTTAGCAGTGGGTAAGGTCAAGGGTGGGCTCAGTAGAGTGACTCGGCTGAGTGGGTGGGTGGGCGTGATTCTGTCACTGAGGCCTGGAGTAGAATGAAAGGAAGGCTGGGAGACTTCTGCGCTTGAGTGCCTTGCTGTGTGGACTGGGCAGTTCAGCTCAGCTCTTTCACACCATGGGCTCTGGGTACTCAGGCCCCAAACTGACACATGACATCATTGATTTCCAACTTGCAAATGGAAGACTGTGGACCCTCTCAGCTTCCAGAGCAGCCTGCTTCGTAGGGTAGGCGTCTGGCGTGCGAGGTGAGATGCCACGTGGGACTCCTACATGAGAATGCCTGGGTTTGCATCTCAGCTCCAATCCCCATCCCAGCTTCCTTATAAATGAGCATTCTGGGGGAGCAGGTAAAGGCTCACGTATTTGGGTTCCTGTCGCCTGTGTGGGTGACCTCGGGAGAGGGGCCGGTTCCTGGCTTCAGCCTGGCTCACCCATGGCAGTGAGAGGTATCTGTCTATTTGTCTGCCCGTCCCAGTTTTTCTCTCTGCCTCTCAAACAAATGAAGACCTAACAACCAAGTGTCCTCTTCTGTACCGGTATATTTGCTGCTGGTTCTGTTTCCAGGCGAGCCCTGACTAAAACAACGTCATCACACTGAAGGCATTTGTGCAGGTGCACAGGCATAGCTCACCGTGGGCTCCGTGTGTTTCCCCCTAAGGGCTAATGATGGTAGCAGCTTTCCGACAGCTTACTTGTCATCTCTATATCCTTTATAGGAAAATATCTGTTCCAATTTTTCTACATTTTTTAATTAGATTATTTTTACCCTTCAGTTTTTGAGCGTTCTTTTTTATATACTAGAAATGACTCCTCCATCACATAAGTGCTTTGCAGATCTTTAACACCCAGCCTGTCTCTTCGGCCTTCTCCCGGGATGCCGGACAAAGCCATCCTTTTACTTGGTGATGAAGTCCAGTCTAACTAGTTTTACTTTCAGGGTGTCCAGTGGATGAACTCTGCCTAGCTTGAGAGCCTCAAGTTGTCCTCCTCTTTCTAAGGGGTTGATGATTTTATGCTTTATGTTTTCAGTTTTACACAGAACGCGAGGTTCAGCAGAGGTTCCGGTTCTGCCTTTAGTAGCCACGTGTTCCAGCCCTCTTTGTCTTTCCTGCCTTGCCTTGATTTTGCACGTGTGTCAAAAATCAGTGGGGCATTTTGTGCAAGTCCCCCTGCCCCACCCTGCTGACCTGTGTCTCTGCCCTTCAGCTGAAGCCCGTTTTGATTATTGTAGCCATGTAGCAAGTCCTGAAGCCAGGCAGACATTCTTCCCAATTTGCTCTTCTATTTCAAAAGTTTGAGCTATTCTAGTTGTTTTGACTTTTTGCATTTTAGAATATTGTTGCCTGTATCTATAAACAATGCTGTGATGTCATTAATTAATTTTATGTGTTGAATCTCTGGCGTGTTGAGTCTTCCAATCTGTGTTCACAGAATGCGTCTCCATGTGTTTACTTAGATTCTCTGGATTTTTTTTTCTCCCAACAATATTGCATTGTTTCTAGCGTGTAGGATCTGGTTGCGTCTTGTTTAATTTGCACCCAAGGGTTTCTATTTATTTATTGTGATCCCACATGTTTTATTTATATAAACTACATACACATTTGTATAATTATGTGGAAGGGAAGGGCAGGAACAGCGAACATTATGCAAAACCTCTCTTACAAGGACCAGCCCTCCCCAGACGCCCCGCCTTCCCTACCCAGGACTTTGGAATTTAAATCCCTGGCTTCCGATTGTCTCAGCTTTGGCCACTGCTGAACCAGCGGAAGGAAGATCTTTGTTTCTCCATTCCATAAATCTGCCTTTCCAATAAAAATAAATAAATCTTTTTTTTTTTGTAAAAAAAAAAATGTTGTCAACAAAAGCAGAATCTTTAGAGATTTAAAAATTTCAAATACATCATGTATATATACATGTGTCCACTTTAGTGTTGAACCCTTCACACACACACACACACACACACACACACACACACACACACACACACCTGCATAACTGGAACTATAATCAAGACTGCAAGTATTTCTGTCACCTTCAGGAAGTTCTCCCCTCCTCTTTTGCAGCTAACCCTTAGCCACACCTCACTTTTCCGCAGTCACAAGGACAAAAAGCCAGCTTGCTCCCTGCTGGCCCACCAAGCGGCCGAGTCCCTGAGGCTCCCAGCCACCTGCCTGTGGAGCCACTTGGGTCAAGTGGGCCTGGGGTCAGCCCAGGGACGCAGCAGGAGACAAAGGTCAAGGGTGCTGAGAGGATCCAGCGGCTTCCATGTTTAGAGCCCTGACCGGCACCAGGCTAGGAGCCCTGCCTAATCCGTCCTCTCTCCTCTGTGCTGCAGCTGGAAGCTGTGACCACCTGCCCAGGGGCAAGCTCAGACTCTGGCCTCCACACCCAGCTGAGGAGCGTGGGCCACCTGCAGGTTCTGAGTGCTGAGGCTGGGGAGAGGGAAGGCAGGGCCTGGGCTTCCAGGCAGCATCCGGGTTGCTGCTGTGCCAAGTGCTGCATAATTCATGCATGCCATGAACTTGGGATCCGGGGATAAGGAACACTGTGTTCCTTTAAAGACTGTTAGCTGGAAGGCCACGGTGGCACCAGGGAGGGCAGGCTTGTCATTTTGCCTCATCTAGGACCCAGATGGAGAAGGCAGGGAGCCACAGAATCTGGGGTGGATGCCTGCTCTGCCGGGGTGCCCTTAAAAGGGTTTAAAAATTCATGAACCTCGTGCTGAGCCACTTGATCCATTATTTAAGGCACATTCTGGGGCTGATGTGGCCCAGGACCCAACACTTTTAGCAGGCAGGAAGGAATGAGGACGAGGGGACAGAAGGACATAGGAAGTCCGTGGCCACGCCCACCTCTGTGGGATCACACAGCAAAGCCAGCAGGCTCTCAGCATCTGTTGAACAAGGCTCCCCGGCGCCCCTGCTGTCGGGTCACTGGAGAGCTTGTGAAAGGAGGGCTTTCCTGCCGGGTGGGCTCTGCAGTCTGAGTTCCACGTGACCCCGGGAGACCCTCACACCCGTTCATCTTCCTCCTATCCAAGCCATCTCCTTTCCAGGGCCCCCTGGACTCTGCTGCGCAACTCCAATTCAATTCAAGCCAATTTCACAGGCCGCAGAGTCCCTAAGCTTGGCTGCACACAAGCTCGGCCCCTCACACACATTGCCTTGAAGCAAGAAAATCAGTAGAAGGGCT